GTCATGAGAATTTATTACGAATTTTAAAGAAATATTTTACTAAATAATTTTAAAATTTTCAATAAACCTTATGCCTCTTATGAGGTAAAACTTAAACTCCTATAAATTCCTGCTTGTCTATCTGTCCTTCCTTAATCTCGAAAACGGTGTTAGATAGATGAAATTCAAGAAAAGACGTGAAAAGATTGATGGCAGGAAGCCCAAATTAACTATAAATAAACTTCCGGTTTTTACCAGAAGTGACGTGATTTCTATTTGAAAATTTTTCCCTGAATACAAATGACCGGCACGACTCCGTTGTTATCAGGGAAAGTATGATTTACAGGGGCCAGTCACTACTAATTTGAGGTGGAGATCATATATTTTAAATTAAATAAATTAAAAATATGATTCAAAAACATATTTTATTAATTTTTTAAGTTAATTTATAAAATGTCTAACTATAAAAATGTTATTTTGGAATTATATTATCATAAGATGAAGAATGAAGAATCCTATCATCAGGCTTATCAGTTTACATTTCTTACTCTTAAATTCATAAATTTCTTACAAAAATGTGAATTATCGCTATATTTAAGTCTCCAAAATTATTTAAAAAATTATTTTATATAAAAATATAAAAATAATATTTATTTATTTATTACAAAAGTAATATCGATGCAATCGTGACGTGATACAATTAATACCGTGACGACATTATCGATTGCTTCATGCGCGTAATTTCGATATTTTACAAATTAAAACAAAGATTAAAATTAATTAATAATTATAATTTGTCACGTTAAAGAATTTAAATATCCAATAAAACGTAATTACAATTGTTAATACTGTTATGTTAAATAGAATAAGATACAAATTTGGAAATGTTAATTATATTTTTATAGGGTTAATTTCATTTATTAGAGTTTATTTGTGTATTTGTGTATCTTATTTTTTTCTGTATTTATAAAATTGTAGTTTTTGTAGAATAAAAATCGATGGTTTTTCTCCTGTTGGAGTGAAAGACACGGGTTTAGAAGTCTTCTATAAAGGTTCATATCCAATTTTCCTATTATTTGTGAAAGATACTCTAATGCTTTTTCCTGAGAAGTTCGAATCATTTAAGTTGAATGACCTCATTAGCCTATATGTCGGGCTCACCCGTGACCAAGAATTGTTCTTTATTCATTATTCCAAAGACGTTATTTATTTATAAAGTTATTCTGTCTTCAATTTCCTTGTTTCTGCATTCAGAATCATACTAGAACTTAACAGTTGATACTTATAAACATTTAACTTCATAACTGGGTCGTTCCAAAGATTTAATGAATAATTTATTTATCAAAAAAATGTATTTTATAAGAAACACCTGGTTTTTATTGATACCATCGTTTTAAAACTACGAAATGGCACGTAAAAAAAAATAGATATAAAAGTTTTAAACTGTTATTATTCATGTTCATCAATTTATCTCTTCTTCTTCTTCCCGGATATTTTCTCAATTAAATTGCCTTAGAAGAAAAAAAAATTAGACGAAAATTTATTCCTGTGTCATTAATCTTTTCTCTATCAAATTTTTTTGCGACTTGTAGACAACTATTAAACGATATCAAATGTTATTGCCCTGTTTGCAGCTTTGCATCTTCTTCTCTTGTAAGCAATCGAATTTATAATACCTCTAATTTTCTAAAAATAGGAATTTTTTTATAATTATTTTATTGTGATATCATCATAATGCCTGGCTGCAATTTTTTAATTTATTTAATTTAAAATATATGCTCTCCATCTCAAATTGGTTTGCCCCTGTACATCATACTTTTCCTGTTAGCAATAGAGTTGTGCCGTAATCTAACTCTTTACAAGGGAAATTTTTGAATTAATAAATAACGTGTAGTTAAATCGGGGTCTTCTTCTCTCAATCTTTCCGTGTATGGTTATGGATTTTATTTATCTAACACTATTCTTGAGATTAAGGAAGGACAGATAGACAGATAGATTATTGAGTAATTTCTAAAAATAATAATAAAATTCTTTTAGATTTATGTTATAAATGCCTCATAGATGTTCATTTAAAAGTGTATAAAACCAATATAAAGGTCTATAAGNGACAAAGATATTATTTATTTAAACAATAAAAGCAGACAGCAGAAGCACGAATCTGATTAAACTTACCGCACTTCTATACTCAAATTAAGTGTTTTTTTATTACATAAATTTGCTTAGCAAATGCAACACTTTGTTAATAACAAAAGAAAGTAACGAAAGTTTAATTAATAACGTTTAAAATATAATAAATAAAATTGTAATTAATTATTTTTTTAAAATAAAAATCGGCCATTTTGTAAAGTTACACTTGGATTTTTAAAGCGATTTATCTAGCTGTCAACGTGGGTATTTTCCATTGTTATAGTGATTAGGGCCCGATTTAGGCTCGTTGTAGCTTCAAGCTACGATATATAAAGATGTTTTTTACTTTCAGAAGGCCCTTACGATACAAGGCCTTAAGCTATAGCCTCGCATCATAAGGCCCTAAGATATTAATTTGTGCCAACGTTGTTATAAAGGAATCAGATTTACACACTATTCGTGACACTAAATTACCATATATAAGGGGCTTTTTCTCTATTAAATAATAACTTTAATTGTATCAGGCCCTAAATTATAGTCTTACAGAGCGAGTCCCTTAACTGTAGTTTGCTTAGTTTATATATAAATTCGTCCTTGTAAGATATCGATATATTTGTAGAATTTATATATCAATAATATTTTATTATTTTATATATATTAAAGGGTGACATTGAAAGTTCTTCGATGCATATAAAAGTATTATTTATTCATAAATTCGGTACCAAAATTAGCTAAAAGAACTGAAGCAAAGCGAGCGTATCTAATACCTTTATCTAGAAATTACCTTAATTGTACACAATAAGTTACCATAGTAACTAAAGTGATTTAAGTACTTGTCACATTTCGGGAAAGGCCCACACCCTCAACAATCATACCACAGTTAGAACCATGCAGAATAAGTAACTTATACAAAGATCTACTTTCAAAATTTGGAAGTATGCACATTAAAACTATAAGCTACATCTTGTTGGTGAGTGTTTTAATTTATATTTTAATTAAATTTTAACTCAAACAATTGGATTTTTTTTTTGGTTAAATAGAGAGAGAAGGATGTATTTTTTCAGTGTTTAAGCCGTGTTATACGCTGCTAACAATGCGTTTATGTGTGATACACATACAAAAAATTCACTGTTTTGTTTGAAATTGCTTTATTAGATCTACACCCATTTAATGGAAACGTATTGTAACAATTGAGATCATAGATATTCAGTTCTGCTAACAATATGTATTATGTTTTCTTAGTATTTGTTAGCAAACACAGGTTAATTTCTTAGAATTGTATGTCTCTATTGTTAAATAAAAGAGCCCTCCCTCTAAAAAAATAAATGCGTGTCCTATTGGTTATTTTAACTAAAAAATTGGAAATACAATTGGTTCTTCAATAAAGGACACAATTTCTAAAGTAGATTAGGCGAATTTTCGTGCAAGAATTATACTCCCACTTCCGACTTTTGCCTTGTTATCATATCATTTTACTTGACACTAATTTGACTAAAGGGGGAGGGAATATAACAGATGATAAAGGGGAGGGAGAAATTATGTTGAATCAATTTTTTAATATACAAGGCTTTTTGAATAGCTCCTTTGATTTTTTAGGCGATTCTTTCTACAGTTCTCTAATTACGGCTTTGTAAGAGGATTTTGAAGTTTTTACAAGTAAAATTTCAGTTTTTTTTAAAGGATTTTAGTTTAATATTCAAATTATCTTAAAAAATCAAATACTTTTCAATGTAAAAATATGCTTTCGTGGATTTAGATTTAGACGAAATTTTAAATATAGGCCTATATATATATACAGTTTGCTTAAATGTAAAGTTTTAGACAGGAAATTTAAGGGATAAATATTTAATTCGAAAAACTTAAAGAAAAAATTCTGAACTTGGCGTGTATAAATACAATTTGATAACAATTGATACAAATTTTACAGTGAAAAATTCTCAATATGTCATTAAAAACATTGAATATGTATATAACATCCATGCATAAATCTCTTTTGTTATTTATTTCTCAATAGCACATCAAAGACACTTTGATAGACAGTGTCTTAGCCAATTACGTAGATTATACGTTGACTACACTTCCTGTCTTTATCGTAAGCAACCAATGATTTTGAATGACAGACTTATTATCCTCTTCATCCTTTCGTGTCAGCATTTCGTCCTTATCTGATTACACATCCCTTCTTCTACTCGTATTTATTTAACCTCTTCTATACAAAACCCCTTCTTTTCCCCCTTTTGTTTAATACAGTTGCAATTACCTAATTCGATAATTTATTAAATTAAGTTATTATTTTGATAGACGAACATATATATATATGTATTTTTTTAAAGGTCTGTGAGGTGTATGTGTGTGTTCTTGATATTTTTATTATAAACTTGTACTGGTCTATTATTGAGGGAGAAACATTGTTTGACCATCGTTTGAGATCTTAGATTTCGGTCTGTTAGAAAAAAAACAGAAAAAAATTACTAATGACGTCTTATTTCTCTCCTCCCAGCTTGAAGATTACAGAGGAAGTGTGCAGCTTCTATGTAGTGTTTATGTCTACCTTAGTATTGTTTCCCTCTCAAACACCTGACAGTTTGCTTCATTAATGGCTCTAGATAATATCGAGTAATGGGGGGGAACCCGTGATTTTCTGTTGAAAAAACAAGCAGTGACTACACACGCGTGATGCTCCCCCAACTAGTAGATCGCGATCTTACTAGTTGGTTGTTCAGAACACTTTTAATGTGTTTAAAATAAATTTTAAAAAAGTATATTTAATGGAGCTTGATCGAAGGCAATCGATGGGTTGAAGAATTCTATAGTGTGAGCGAGTTAATTTATATAGATAATTCGTTAAAATTTAATAAATTTATTATATTGTATCCCTCTAATTTGAGCATAGCATGATAGAGCGCATGAACGAACCACGCTATAAAAGTAGGAGCACCGTAATTGGTTTTTAAAAATGAACCTTCGGGCATTTCTTTTTTCCTCGTCTCTTCGAATGATTAGGTGTCCCATTCGCTGGTTTTTCAGTGTAAAATTTTGTATGTTCATGTGTCAATTTGCCACGCCATCTCAATTATATCCTGCTGTCTCTAGCCGCGAGATAAGTGTGCATATGTGGCGGTTCCTCTACGTTTTGTAATGATGTCGGGCATGCATCTTCGAGCGATGTTCTCACGTTCTAACATTAAATAATGCCCAATATATTCACCGTTAGGTAATGCCCGACGGTACTACCTTTAAGTGTTACTTCTTCTGCAAATACCCGGGTTCTGACGTGTCAGAATTCGACAGAAATGAGGAATTTATACTAATTTAAAAAAAAATACCTCTACTGTTTGAAAAAAACAGGGAAAAACTAGTGACATGGCTGGCATCCATATTCAATAAGCCAGCGCTTTGCATAAGGATAACAAACGAAGCAGCTGATATAATTTATTATTAAGTAAGTCGTTTTAATTGATACAATAGGTTTAATTATATAAATGAAGTTAAAACAATAGTTCGTTGTTTTTGCGTTAATTAAGCTGGAAAATGATTTTCGCCCCTCTTTAATGTGACCATCTGCTGGATTATTTAATAAACTCTTTGTAAGTAATTAGTCGAAATTCATTTGAAATTTTGCCTTTCTTCTTCTTCTTCAATTGAATACCTTGTCTTTTCACGTCTATTCGTCGTTTTTTACACAGAATTAGTAGAATTTTCGCAGCAAATCGATTCATTTTGTATTACCTCTTACAGTATAATGACTACAGACTACTTTTTATAGGTTATAAAGCAGATATTAAGAGCAAGGAGTGATATCGCGTATAAACCAATTAATAGGCTATAAAATAAATCTTACATCAAATAAACTATGCACTATAACTTAACCTTTGCAAGAAACTCATTTGTATGGGTGTACACTTTCTAAAATATACCCACACCTATATCATTTTTTATACATACAAATTATTTTATTAGTTACAATCAGATTGTACGTAAGAAAAAAAAACACTCAAGTCATTTAGTTTAACTTATAAATTTTGTAACAGTCGAGAGAAAATGATAAATGAGTAACAATTTAGATGAATTAATTGAGACTAATTAGCAAAATTCTCTCTCTATTGTTACTGTAATAGCTACGGGGCAGTTTTGTATAGTATCTAGAGGTTTAAGAAACTAAATTAATACAAGAGTTTCGAGCGTAGTGACTAGCGTAACGTCTTAATATATAAACCAGAGACATTTCTCGAAGGAATTTAAGAAATTAGCTTAAAAAAAAAAGGTCATAAATGAGATGAGAAGAGAAAATGATCCCAAGCTTACGCCCCATTATGGGTGTGGATAGAAATACCAGAAGTGGGGTGTTCCGGGATAGAAATCTCCCTACGTTCTCTGTTACCTTGTTGTAACGGGTGGGAACCATGACAATTTGGGAAATTCCCTTGTCTCCTCCGCCCTTCCAATCTTATGGGTTGTCAACCTCTGTAAGATATCTTCTCTCACTCTAGATAATCTACAAACAATAGCAAAACTATTGTGGATATGTTTAATTCATGACCATCCTCGAATCAATCTGCAACACGATAAAAGAGCATTGTCTGTATTTTTAGTGACGTAAAAAAAACCAACCCCTTCTAGAATATCTGTAACCAATTAATGAACCATATTCTTGAGGTATTTAGATCTATGGTAAGGGGGTAGATCTGTATCTATACTAACTCGATACTAACTTTTACTCGATAAATACATTAAAGTAACTTTAACGACGACAGTTATAATTCATCTCGTATCTGGAATTCATAAATAAAAATAGCAAGACGAGTTAAAGATAAGAATATAAAAACTGGTGAAAGTCGAGGATGACAGAAGCTATGGAAACAAAACTTACGTTGACAGTATTGTTTAATTCATAAGTTGTCGCCATGTTTTTTTTTCCTCCTCCTGGTACTGCTAAAGAAAGAATACCCGTGGTATGAATATTAAATTTGCGGATGCGGATGCATTAGTAGTCAGGTGATGCTATACTGTTACATTTAAATTATTACTATTTTATCTTCAATACTTACAATAAACTGATTGCTACTAACAGATTTAGTGCTATAAAAGTAACAAAAACCCGTCTTCGAGACTTAATTTTGTGTTATAGAATTTAATTAATTAAATAATATCAAATTAATTTAATCTCCAGACAAATTATTTAAAAAATGATTTTTTTTCCTTCAAAAATACCCACCCAAAAAAGGCAAATATATTAAGTTTTTTTTATGTGTTTTGATAGAAATATAGAATATAATAGTCGATAAAATGTATTTTATACGCTTTATATGTATATTTTTGAAAGAAAACGAGGTTTTTTTCGTGTAAAAAGTCGTATTTTGAAGCTAAATAGCTAAATAAAAAATTCAAGGTTTGATACTGTTTAATTGCAAATGAATATTAATTTCTTTTTTGGTATTATTTACGATAAATTTATGGATAATGTTTAAATTATTTTTTTTTTAATCAGCAAAGAGTTTTTAGAAAATGATAAGAGAAAGACAAGGACATTAAAAGATAATGAATAAAGATGTGTTAAGGATTATAAACTATTATCATAAATTATATTTTTTAAGGCAAAATAAATTAATATAAAGTAAATATTATAAAATTATATAGTAATTTGAACAATTTATATAAAATAATATGTAAATTTTTACATGGAGAAGATGCTGAAGTACTTACTAAAGTGATGATGATGCTGTGTACTTCAGCATCTCGTCTCCAAACTAACCAAATAAATAAATAATTAATTAATTATCTTTAACATTTTAATAATAAGAAACATAAAAATTAATTTTTTTTATATTTAATATAG